CGATGTCCGACGATGCTCCGTTGCAACATCAATGAGGTTCCGTTGGCCGGTGATGCTCCATTGTAGCATCCGTGAGGTTTGGGTGTCAGACGATGCTCCGTTGCACCATCTGTAAGGTTCTGTCGGCCGGCGATTCTCCCTTGCAACACCCGTGAGGTTTCGGCATCAGACAATGTTCCATTGAAGCATCTGTGAGGTTCCATCAGCCGGCGATGCTCCGTTGTAGCACCCTGAGGTTCCGACGTCCGACGATGCTTCGTTGCAGCATCTGTGAGGTTCCCTCAGCCGGCGATGCTCCGTTGTAGCACCCGCGAGGTTCTGACGACCCGACGATGCTTCATCATAGCACCGATGATGCTACATTGCAGGTCCAATGATGCTCTGACGGCCAAGCGATGCTCCATTTTAGCACTTGTGAGGTTCAAGCAGACGGACGATGCTGCATCACACCAACGGTGATGCTCCGACAGCCTGGCGATGCTCCATTGTAGCACTCGTGAGGTTCAGGCAGATCGACGATGCTCTATCACACCAACGGTGATGCTCCGACGGCCCGGGTGATGCTCCATTGTCTCACCGGTGAACCCTTGAGCACATGGCGCTACTCAATGGCCCACGAGCTCGTGTCGCGATGCCGGCGAACCCTTGCTGCACTAGATGCATACCACATGCACCAGATGCCGGCGAACCCTTGTTTCACGTAATATCAGCCGGATGAAATGAATCGTTTTCCAAAAAAATAACCTCCTTTACATGGCCCACGTACATGGACTTATATAATGGTCGACTCTAACTTGACCGACAAACTCAACGCATCTATCTCTGGTGCCATCTTACGTGACCTTCTACTAATTTAATAGCACCTGCCTTTTACATCTCAACAGGTACTAACACTAGTAGAAAACGAACCTTTAAAACCGGTTTGTAAGGGCCTTTAGTGCCGGTTATGGAACCGGCACTAAAATGTGGACACTAAAGGCCCCCCCCTTTAGTACCGGTTCGGCACGAACCGGTGCTAAAGTGCCACCACGTGGCGTGAGCTCACGCCCTGGTATGGGGGACCTTTAGTACCGGTTGGTGTTACCAACCGGTACTAAAGGTTTTTTTTTGAAAATTTTGGAAAAAAAAAAGACTTTTTTTTCAATTTTTCTGAATTATTTGATAATTTAGTCTCTAATCACCACCTCTCTTAACTGCTCAAGTGTGGATCACTCATTCCAAATCATCTAACTTCCCGACCGGTCATCCATCCCTCTCACTACTCCAGCCCAAGCACGCTTAACTTTCGGATTCTATTTTCCTTCGTTTTCAAGTCTGCACTTGTTGTTTTCCTGACAATAGTAAGATGTTAATCATATTAACCTTCAGGAGTTTAGCTTGAGCATGAAGTCACACATTTCACCGTTTGAGTTTGAAACTATTATTCTAAAAAAACAGTAATTATTTAGTAACGCTAATATTTCTTGAATAAGTTTGACCATAGTTTGACCATATTTGACCAAAATTTAAAAAATTGAAATTATTATTTAGTAACATTAATATTCTTGAATAATTATGTAGTAACATTAATACTTCTTGAATAAGTAGTTTGACCAGATTTAACCAATTTTTTTTAGAAAAACTGAAATTTGACCATATCTTTTTTTCCTTTTGGAATTTGAGGATTCTAAAAAATTCCAAACAGGCCATAGGCAGTCTCCATCGGATGCGGATTTTCGTGCTGAATTTTGGATATATTATACGTTTTTTTCCGACATCGTATGCAAAAGTTATAGCCGTTTTACATTTTCCCTACACTTTTTGCAAAACATGTCCAAATTTAAGTTTTCAAATTTTCCTAACTAGTAGATGTAGTAATATAACTACCTCTCGAAAGATTTTATTTTCTGAATTTTTTATCATTTTCTTTTGATTTTTT